TTTATAGCACAAAAAATGTATACATGAGAAAAAAGGAGAAGTCTTAAAGCAACAATCTAAAATTGCTCCTGGAGAACTTAGCAAAAGTAAAGCAAAATAAACCCAAATCAAGCAGAAGAAAGGAAAGACTAAACAACAGAAATCAGGAAAATTGAAAACAGAAAACCCACTGAAACAAATAGCTGGTTCGTTGAAAAGATCAATAACATTGATAAAACTCTATCTAGACTGATAAAGAAAAAAGAGAGAAGACACAAATTACCAATATCAGGAATGAAATAGGGGACATCACTACAGATCCTGCAGACATCAAAATGTTAAGGGAATGCTACAAACAACTATATGCACATCAATTTCACAAATTTTTTTAAAAAATACAACCAACCAAAATTTACCCAATATGAAACAAGATACTATGAATAACCCTACAAATATTGGTAAAATTGAACACATAATTTCAAACCTCTCCAAAAAGAAACTTCCAGGTCCAGACAATTTTATTAGCAAATTCTACCAAATACTTAAAGAAGAATTTTTTTAAAGATTTTATTTTTAAGTAGTCTCTACACCCAACGTGGGGCTCAAAGTGACAACCCTGAGATCAAGAGGCACATGCTCTATGGACTGAGCCACCCAGGCATCCCTATTTAAAGAATTAACACAAATTCCACACAATATCTTCCAGAAAATGCAAGAGGAAGGAACATTTCCTATTTCATGAAACTAGTGTTATCCTGGTATCCAAACCAGATAAAAACAGATCTATATTTCTTATGAATATATACACAAAAATCCTTTAAAAATATTAATACATAGTGGCATTAAAATAGACATTCAGACCAGTAGAACTGAATAGAGAGCCCAGAAATAAACTCATAATTATATGGTCAATTGATTTACAACAAAGGAGTCAAGAATATCCAATAGGGAGAAGACAGTCTCTTTGATAAATGGTGTTGAGGAACCTGGACAGATACATGCAAAAGAATGAATCTAGACTACTATCTTACACCATGTAAAAAAATTAACACAAAATAGATTAAAGACTTGAATGTAAGACCCGAAACCATAAAACTCCTTGAAGAAAACATAGGTGGTAAGCTTCTTGACATCAGTCTTAGCATTGATCCCACTCTAAAAGCAAAAATAAACAAGTGGGAGTAGATCAAACTAAAAAAGCTTCTGCGAAGAGGAAAAAAAAAAGGCAACCTACTGAATGGGAAAAAAATTGTAAATCATATATCCTATAAGGGGTTAATATCCAAAATATACAAGGAATTCAAACAACTCAATAGCAAAAAAACCAATCTGATTAAAAAATGAGCAGAGGACCTGAATAGACATTCTTCCAAAGAAGACATACTGATGATGGCCAACAGGCACATGAAATGATGCTCAACATCACTCATCATCAGGTAAATGCAAATCAAAACCATGAAGAGATATTATCTCATACCTGTTAGGATGGCTATTATCAAAAAGTCAAGAAATAACAAGTTTTGGCAAGGATTGGAGAAAAGGGAACCCTCGTGCACTGTTGGTGGGAATGTAAATTGGTGCAGCCACTGTGGAAACAGGGTGGAGACTTCTCAAAAAATTAAAAATAGAACTATCATATAATACAGTAATTCTACTACTGGGTAATTGCCTGAAGCAAACAAAAACATGAATTTGAAAAGACACACGCACCCCTATGTTTATAGCAGCATTATTTACAATAACTAAGATACGGAAGCAACCCAAGTGTCCACTGATGGATGAATGGATTTAGAAGATATGGTATGTATATACAATGGAATATTACTCAGCCATAAAAAGAAGGAGATCTTGCCATTTGCGACAACAAAGCTAACCTAGAAGATGACTGAACACTTGGGATATTAAAGAATTCATAACAATACAATTTGTGAGGTCAGATATTTTGAATTACAAAACATGGGTGAATTCTGAGCCGGAACCACTCAGTGCAAGTGGCACGACAGGGACACAAGGGCAGTGACAAAAACTGGCCTGTCGATGCAGAAACATTAGGAGGGGCATCTGAAGCCACACCTGACAAGGAGGTATTAGGAGATGAAGAAATGGTGAGAATGTGGCTCCTGGCAAGTGCAGTAAGAACAGAGAGGTCCTCCGCACCTGCCCAGGAGCAGGCCTTTGTAAAAATATGATAGGTCCAAGCTCTCTTGGATTGACATGCATGAACCCTAAAGAATCTGAGTCAAGGGAAGAAGAGAATTGAGGCTAATGACCAACTCCCAGCCAGGATGGAGAACATGACGGTCCAGCTTGGGGAAGAGGCTGGGCCTACACTGTTAACACATGGCAATCCTGATGATGATCCCAAACCACGTGATTTTGAGACATGGGAAGGCAACTCAAGGGTGGATCACACACCCAGGTTTTCTCTCAGTAAGTACTTGGTGCCTACCAGGTGCAGAGCCAGGCCGCGGTGGGGAGTAAGTCGACAAAAGAGGCAAAAAGTCCCTGTTCTCATGGAACATACAATCTAACAGGGTAAACAGAAGTCAACAGGCAGTTAAAACACCATGTAGTGGCCATCAGGACAAGTACAGGGAACGTCTAGGAGGATACTAGACCGGGGTTTTGATAAAGCAAATACTGATCAATGAACCACTCGATGCAAAGAGAACTCAAAGAATGAGGGTTTTAGGTGGATGAAAATGATCAGATGGAGGCTTCTACTTCCACTCGGGATGGACACAGTTGAAAAGAAAGGGCTCCCACCTAACAAGGAAGGTAAGAAACACAACCTATAACGTAAAGCCCTAAAAATACACGTATACTTTGACTCAGGAATTCCATCTCTGGGAATGCTATGGAAATTATTAGAAAAATGTACCAAAAAAAAACATACAGGTATGTTTATGGCATCTCTGTATATAAAATAAGTACAACTGAAAACAATCTAAACGACCGTCACCAGGGACAGCCATCAAGTGGGGTGTAAAGTAGCTGTTAAAATGATGATGTGGACTTCCAGTGGAAAGCAGTGGCCAAATGCACACATTATGTTATACCTTCTCCTTCCAAAAATTCAACTGAAATAACAGAAAATAAAAAAACAAGAGCGTCACTAAAAACTTGGGAGGAGTGCTACCCACAAACCAGAGACACTGGAGATTACTGGAAGAGAATAAAACACAGCAAGAGATTAACCTGGAAATGTAATAGAAAATACGAACTTACAATGCTGTACAGGCAAAAGCAAGGACCTCGTAAAAAGTGTGTTTTCCCAGGGGCACCTGGGTGGCTCAGTCGTTAGGCATCTGCCTTCAGCTCAGGTCATGATCCCAGGGTCCTGGGATGGAGCCCCACATCGGGCTCCCTGCTCTGCGGGAAGCCTGCTTCTCCCTCTCCCACTCCCCCTGCTTGTGTTCCCTCTCTTGCTGTGTCTCTTTGTCAAAAAACAAACAAACAAACAAAAACAAACCTTAAAAAAAAAAAGTGCGTTTTCCCAGCAGAACTCATAAATTACTCTTTGATGAGAAGTGGCAGCTAAGAGAAAAAGTGCCGTAGGCACCTGCCTTCCGAGGAGGCACTAGTGTTAGAACTGCTTGTGGTGAGCCAGGTAAAGACCACAGAAGAGCTCTCTAAAGTGGGGTGTCCAAAGAAAGACCTTCCTAAGGTGGGTGCAAAGTCCAGAGAGCATAGGGCCCTGAGCAGGGCCGTGGCTCCTGCAGGTGTGAGCCCACCCAGCCCCACATGACCACCCGCGGTGAGCACTGGGTACCCACACACGTAGAGGCCAGATGAAGGCTGGCAGGATGTGGTCCAGACCAGTGACGGGACCCACGGGGTAGACAGACGTGTCGTGAAGGGAAAGGAAAGGGCACTGAAGTTTTTTTCTACACATGTCCACACTATTTGAATTTATCACAAATATATACTCACATGTATATATTTTTACAGTGCATATTTAAATAATTAATGTATTCAATTCATATATTTAAATAATTCAAATGTTTAAATCTAAATATAGATTCAGGTCAGTATTAATGTATGATATCAAGACATCATAGGGCGCCTGGGTGGCTCAGTTGGTTAAGCGACTGCCTTCGGCTCAGGTCATGATCCTGGAATCCCAGGATTGAGTCCCACATCGGGCTCCCTGCTCAGCGGGGAGTCTGCTTCTCCCTCTGACCCTCTTCCCTCTCGTGCTCTCTATATCTCTCATTCTCTCTCTCTCAAATAAATAAATAAAATCTTAAAAAAAAAAAAAAAAGACATCATAAACAAAATTGAGAAGTATAAAAGTGAGGTTTTATTTTGGTAGAAAAATAGTATTTTATAAATATATGTACTTAGCAAAAAGTCAATAAGGATAGACACCAAAATGTTAACCACAGTTAATTCTGCATGGTGGAATAATAGGTGACTTTTATTAGTTTTTGTTTGTTTGTTTTTACATTTCTGCACTTAAGGAACTGCTCTGAGATGAAAAATTAGTAATGAATCATCTTTAATTCAAAAATATAAAGCCATTTAAAAAGCTAATTGCTTTGAGTGTTATTAAAGCTGCATCATAAATTCAAGGGTATTTACAGCTTTTTTTCATCAGAGGCAGTCTGGAACAACAACAAAGAAAAGGAGGAGGTCATCAGAACATCAGACATTTCAACACATCTCTGGACCTCAGAAGCTTCCTGTCCAGTACAAATCTGAAGATGAGGAAGGGGAAGTGGGAACGGGGTGTCCCTTTTGCCCTCAACCCCAGCACGCATGACTCTCTGGATGGAAAGGACCCCTCACTAACTCAACACATCATGACAGCAGGGACCACGTGTCTTGTTCCCCCACTATGTTCCCAAAACAGAGCAGGTGCTAAGTGAGTATCAGCTGAGTGGATAAACAGAGTAAAACACATCTATCAACATGGGGCCCTCTCTTAGAAACAGAAAGTGCACAGGCAAACACACATACAGGCAAAAACTCAACTCCGAGGCACAGAAACTGGCGTCTACCAAGGGGCGCTAACTTACCGGATGCCTGGCTGAAAGTCTTCCGGTCACAGTTCCAGTCTGATTCCACGTAGAGGAAATGGAGCCCTTTATCAGTTAAGAAGAATCAGTTTCAGCGCTGGCAATGTCATGTGAAGTCAACAGCACAGTGACCCTTAGTCTCCCTGCACACAACACACACTCACTGCTCTCCTGCAGACGTCCACAACCCGCTGGCCCGAAGCCCCCAACCCTGAAAGGTCTCTGGGTGTCAGCCAACTGCTGACCAACAAGGAGGTTCCCCCTAACCCATGCAGAAACTGCAACAGGACATGTGGGTCTTCAGGTCCCTTCAAGCCCCTGAGCATGGGGAGAGGAGGACCATGTGCCACGGGGGCTCAGCATGGACTCCAGGTGGGGCTGTGCAGCCAAGACAGGGGCCCAGACGGAACACCTCTGCCTGCAGGCTCCTCCTCCTTCCCTGCAATGGGCGCGGGAAGAGGCTCAGTGACAGGTGTCATAGTGCCTGGGAAACCTCAGGGCTTCGGTGTACATGCAGCTCCAGGTCTGAAGGCATGATGACCACTCAGGCTATAAAGAGACCCGAGTCATAACAAAATCATGGTTCACAGCTCAAGAATATTTGGTGATTTCATCGTTAACTAAAATTTCAGGAAATTGTACATGTATCTGAAGCCACGTGGAAACCACATTCCTGGGCACAGGATCTCGTTTAGCTCAGTTACCTTTCTCATGCAAGCTAGTAATCCATCCACAAAGGCTGATTTGGTCTTGTGAACCTAGGTTACACAGACAAGAGTAATCATTTTCTTGTTTCAGCATCCAGCAGGAACAAGCATCAGAGCAGTGTTCCACAGAGCGCTGGGCATGTGGCACTCAAGTGTCAGCTCCAGGAGGCCCCGCAACAGGCTGGTGTGGTACCCACAATTAAATAACAATGACCCACAGAGAAAGACGGCACCCTACCCTCTTTCCAGAATAATTCTGGAATGATTCTTTTCACAGAAACGTTGCAGAGATAAATGGGGAGCCCTGGGTACCCATCCTCCCGCATCCCCTAGGGTGCCTTTAGTTCTTTTCCAATCGTTTCGTCCCTTCGGGGAGAAGTCCATTTGGTGCCATGACCAAGCCCTGTCGGCTGCCACACCTCAGGAGAGCAGCAGGCCACAGGTTCAGGGAGTGACAGACTGATGGTACAAGCGGCAGCCAAGCTATGGACGCGGTTCACGAACAACAGAGAACACACGCAGGTGCATGGACAGAGGAAGCGTCGGCTGCTGAGGAAGAAGGGGGCATGTCAGAGAACAAGCGAGCCAACGTGTTCAGAGGGCCGCAGGGAACCTTGCCAGGCCCAGGGCTGGGGAGCAGGAGGAGGCCCTCGAGAGAGGCTTCTGAACTCTGTGCTGGCGGAGTCTAGTCCACAGCGAAGCCACCCAATGCCAACACACACATCCCCTTCCCATCTTCATCCATCCTCGTCCCCGTGGGACCCTGTGGCGTAGTGCCAGGCGGGGTGCACGAGAGCAGCGCTGGAACCAGGCCGGCTTGGACAAGCTCTATTCCCCTCAGAACACTGCCAGGGCTACTGCTGTGATTATGGATTGATGGCTCTTATCAGAGGTGGGGCCAGATAGCTCCCCTCCCTCACCAACTCACTCACACACAAAGGGAACTTACCCGTCTATATTCCAAAATTATCTTGGGTAATGGATGAAGGTCCTGCACAGCACTTAACTGAAAAATGAGAATAAATGTCACCAATATAATTCCTTCATTTAATTTTAACATTTTGAACACTTATTTTCAGCTGGAGAAAGTCCTAATAATAAATGGTCTGTATTGACCATATTTTCCAAAGTGAAGATTCATAATACATTCAGTTTATCAAGTGTCTTAATCTAAATCCCTTACAAAATCATTGCTGTACATATGAGAGCTAAAGGCATTTCACACAAGCTTGGACATAAGATTGCTCCTGAGATTTAAATTCATGAAATCTAAATCCAGGGTATGTAAAATACCACGTAGGAGAATAAACTAAGAAAATGCCTACAAATGTGTAACTCAAGAGTTTAGGAACACCCAATGTTTCAATTACAGTTATCCAGGCATAATGTCAGGGAGGTAACATCAGAATAGGATTATGGATTTTAAAACTAATTTTAAAAGGTCAAAATATTACATATAGGACAACACAAGATCCTAAGAACTTGATTTGTTCAAATACCACAAAGTGAACATGCTTGGGTAAGGCAATGCACACGGAACATTCCAGGTCCCCTGCAGGTCCCTGCCCCTCCCCTGCAGGTAGCCACCACTCTGACCTCCACCATCAAGGCCACTTTTCCCAGCTTTCAAACTTCGTATCCATGCAACAGGACAGACACTCTGTGTGTGTGGTTTTGTTCAACAGGGTGGTTTTAAGGTTCATCTGTGTTGTATGAAGCAGCATTTCATTTACTTGTACTCCTGTTTTCAATTGTTTGTTTGAATGTAGGACAACTATATTTTCTCGTTGATGGATACTAGTGGGTTGTTTACGGGCCATGATGAGTAGTGCTGTTGTGAACATTCTGGAGTCCAATTTTGGTTAACATATGTCTGCAGTTCTGTTGAGCAGAAACACAGAGAGGAATGGAATCGCAGGGCCAACTGAAGCAGAGGCAACACCAGCCAGTTCTCCCAAGTGAAGGCACCCGTCTGTTCCCCACCAGCACCATGTGGATGTTCCAGTTGCCCCACATCTTTGCCAACACATGTCCCAGGCCTTAATGTTAGCCATTCTGGTAAATGTGAAGTGATACTGCATGGTAGTTTTATATGTATTTCCCCAGTGACTAATATACTTGGACAGTATTCACACACTCATTGACTAATTAGGTATCTTCTCTCATTAAACCCCTGTTCATGTCTTTTGCTCATTTAAAAAATTGGTTTGCATGTCTTTTCCCCCCCCACCCTTGATTTGTAGGAATTTGTTATTCTGGACAGTGTTTTCTTCAGCTGGTTACATTGACTGGAAATCTCCCTGCCTTCTGTGACTTGCTTATTTGTTTAATGGCATCTCTTCATAAACAGAGATTCTTAATTCTACTATTGCCAAATTTATCAATCTCTTCCTGTATGGGTAATGCATCTTGTGTTCTGTTTAGGAACATTCACCCACCTCAGTGTCTTTTTTTTTTTTTAAAGATTTCATTTATTTATTCATGAGAGACAGAGAGAGAGAGAGGGACAGAGAGAGAGAGAGAGAGAGAAGCAGAGGGAGAAGCAGGCTCCCAAGGAGCAGGGAGCCCGATGCGGGGCTCCATCCCAGGACCCTGGGATCATGACCTGAGCCGAAGGCAGACACTTAACCATCTGAGCCACCCAGGCGCCCCCACCTCAGGGTCTTGAGGATATTCCTTTATGGTTATCTTATGCAATCTTCGTTGTTTTGCTTTTTTTATTTAGATGTACAATTTGCTTGGAGTTTATTTTTGTGTATGGTATGAAATAGGGGTCATTTATGGAACGAGCCCTCCTTATTCACTCCTTGGCAGAGCCACCCTCTCAGAGATCGTGCCTTTCGTATGCACGTGTGGACTCCCCATCCTGGGTCCACTGGCCTGTCTGTTCATGCTCCAATCGACACTAGCCTGTGCTACTTAGTTCCTGGCAATCCCTACTGATTTAGGATTAGTCTTGACGTCCAACAGCCTAAGTCCTCCAGTAGTGCTTCCCAAGATCACAGTGGCTCTTAGTTTTTTGCATTTCCATGTCAATTTGGGAATCAGCTTGCCAGCTTCTCCAAAAAACTGCTGCTAAGATTGTTTTGAATCTATAAATCAGGTTGGGCTAACTCTCATGTAACAGTGTAAGGCATGAAGTTGCATCCCCATCTGTTTGAATAAAGACTGAGGACCCAAGGGTCTTGGCTGGCCACAGAATTGTAACCCGGAGAGCCGACACTGGTGTCATGGGAGTAGGCGCTGCCCAGGGGGAGGCACCCTACCTCAGTACAATCCAGAATTGCTGTTTACTTAGAAAAGCTATCCCCAGGGGGATGACAGTACATGAAAACACTTAGCCAAGAAACCTGCTTAAGATCGGCTAGCTCTCCTTATCTTGATACCTTACTCATCTAACCACAGTCTCTCTGTATATCCCTACTTCAGCCGTCCGAGAACGCTTGAAAAGATTTAAGTATTTGATCTCATAAAACTTTGGACAAAGCCCTACCAGCATTGGTTCACGATCAGAGGCAGTTCCGCAGCCGTCTGCCGCCCTGCGAGCTTTATCACACAGTCCGTGTTGGCTCCTGACAGCACATTCTTCTCGGCTTCTTTCTTTCTATGGCCAATCCGCAGCCTCTTGTCGGCGCCTCCTCTTTCCCTGACCTCTATGGGTCAGTTTCTCAGCGTTAGGTTCTGCCGTTATCAATGTTGGCCGGCTTATGAAAAACAGCCGGGAGCTTCAAAAACATGCCTGGGTCTGGGCCGTCCAACCCACAGACACGATTCTGTGGATCAGTCATCAGCCTGGGCATTAGTGTTTTTCCAAAGCTTGGGCCAGGGTAGGGGACCACCATCCCAGGGCAACTTTACTAAAAACTGGCTGACCACTTCCAGCACAAGACTTTTCACTGACCTGACCACTCCTGTGACATCTCTGTGCCCGTGTCTTCTGAACATCTCTGTCTTAGTAAGTCCGAGGTGAATGCTTGACCCCACCCCCACCCCAGGAAATTGTTCCTCTCCCAGTTTTCCCTGAGTAATGGCCTGTTCTCTCTGCTCAGTTACACAACTAAGAAAACCAAGAGCTACCCCCACAGTCTTTTGTTGATGCTCACATGAACTCACAACAGTTCCTTTCTGCTCTAAAAATGCTCTGGAAATTCTTCCGCTGCTCCATCTTCACAGCTGTCAGCTGGACCACGGAGACTTCTGCCCCCACACTACAGTAACAGCCTATTAACGAGACTCCTCCCTCCTCCAACCAGCTGTAAAAGTGGACTTTTCAGGACATAGCTAACATCTGTTAGGATGGGCAGAATCCAAAGCCCTGACAACACCACATGCTAGCGAGGATGTGGAGCAGCAGGAACTCTCATCCACAGCTCGTGGGAAGGCAGAATGGTGCAGCCACTTTGGAAAATAGTTTGTCAGTTTCTTGCAAAATTCAATATACTCTCACCATACGATCCAGCAATCATGCTCCTTGGTATTTACCCAGAGGAGCTGAAAACTTACGTCCACACAAAAACCTGTACATAGATGTTTATAGTAGCATTCTTCCTCATTGCCAAAACCTGGAAGCAACCAAGATGTCCTTCAGTAGGTGAATGGGTAATAACTGTGGTCCATCCAGACAATGGACTCTTATTCATCATTAAAAAGAAATGAGCTATCCACTAGGAAAGACATGGAGGAACTTTCAATGCACATGACTAAGGGAAAGATGCCAGTCTGAAAAGGCTACATACTGTATGGTTCCATCTACAGGACATTCCGGAAAAAGGCAAAACTACGGGGACAGTGAAAATACCAGGGTGGGGGGAGGGGAAAAAGGGGGAACAGGTGGAGCACCAGGGTGTTTAGGGCAGTGAAGCCACTCTGTGATACCATAATGGTGGACACCCGTCATGACACATTTGTCCAAACCCACGGAATGTGCAAAACAAAGGGTGACCCCGGAGATAAACTATGAACTTTGGATGATGATGATGATGTGTCAGCCGAGGTTCACCGAGTGTAACAAATGGTCCCACTGGTGGGGATGTGGACAGTGGGGGAAGAGGGTGGGGGAGTGGGTGTGGGGGGGTGGGAGGAAGGCAGTATATGAGACTTCTCCGCACCTTCTGCTCAATAGTGCTGTGAAATAAAACATAAAATCTAATAAAAATAAAAGCCTAATAAAACTGTATCTAAGATCACAGTTGTGCCCTTACTTGAACTGTTCGAGGCTACACATTTTACCTGAAGTCCACATCCTTCCACATGGGGAAGGGAACAGGAAGGGAAGGAAAGAAGAGAGGAGTCTTAATTCTGAATTTAGAACCATGTACATGAGCTCCCTAGTTCATCTTTTTTCAAATGCACAAAATAGTATGACTTGGTCAGTTAAGTAAGAGAGGTTAATATGATTTACCTCGATCATGTCTTTGTGAAAAATAATTAAGGTCATTAATTCTGTCTACAAGAAAGCACATCAACACCACAAGAGCGTTTCATTTCCTTTCTTAGTTGCTGGTTGTCTGGAAGAGCTAAGCAGCAGCGAAGGGAAGGGCAACACTGTCAGCTGGTGCCAGGACGGAGAATCGATCAGACCGAGACCCTCAGCTCCAGGCCCCACGGGGGCAAGTGTGTGGCTTTTCCAGCTACTGCTGCCACTCCACCTGTAGGGCGCAGTGCCCCTCTGCGGTGTGGGTGTGAAATCCAGGCCAGAGTCTCCCCAGCAGGATGGGGCCTGCTCCATGCTGTCCTGGATCTCCGTGAACAGACACTTGTGCTGGTTCAGGCTGCTCGGCTCTGGAGATGCAGTGCACAAGTCAAACATGGGCTTTGATTTGCACAGCCTACATCCTAGAGCAACAAGCCAACCAGGAACTAAGGTAACTCTAGGTGCAGGAAACAGATCTGGGTGAAGAAATAGGTTGCACCTGGGGGCCTTACTGTTGTCTGTGTGGCCAGGGGAGGCCTCTCTGAAAGCAGCACTTAAGCCAACAATCAGAAGCCACTGCACAAACTTCAGGAGAGTCTCCAGGCCAGGAAAGAGCCCGTGCAGAACCTGTGAGGAGCAGTGTGCTCATGGGGCACTGGGAGCGAGGGGGTCCAGAGAAGGGGCAGGGCCAGACCCGGGGCCTACAGACATACTGGAGGGCTGGGGCCTTAATCTAGGGGTCACGGGAAGCCCCTGGAATGTACATCAGGGGAATAACATGATTTTTCTAATGTAAAACATGGCTCTGCCTGGATGTGATGGATAACCATCAGGGAAGCTGCTGAGGGGGCTTTGCAGGGCTGTGAATGGGAGGTGACTGAGGTGGTGACCACGAGGACCGAGGGAGCAGACAAACTCAAGAACCTATGTTTGTAGGTAGAGACTGTAAAGCTGGCTGTGAGGTGAGGCTGGAATAAAATCCAAGATGACTCGTAGGTTTCTGGATGAAGTAGCTAATAATTATAGCCAGTACTTGCTGGTTTTTGAGAGCTCATATGTCAGGCATCGTCCTAAGTACTGTTTTACACACAGGCACACATCCACACACTTGTTGAACACTCACAGGATTGCTGCAGGGAAAGGACTGTTATTATCCTTTTTCTACAGGTCAGGAAACTGAGGCACAGAGGAGTCAAAGACATGCCCCAGCTATGCAGGTGGACGTGGTAGCTGACTCCACTGCCCTTACTCTACCCACTGCTGGCTCCCAAGGACCCAGGAGGAGGATGGGCGTCCACTGAGGTGGGGAAGGGGGCAGATTCAACCCCCTTCAGGACACATCACTCTACAGAGTCTGTGATTCCACTCAAGAACTGCCATCTGAGCCCACTGAGGGCCGCACATGGGGACTGTCAGAAAGCAAGGGGCTCTGGCAGGGCCGAGATGGGCAGAGTGTGCAGTGCTGGAGTGGCCATGTGCATAGGGAGGGAGGCTGCTGCTAAGTCAAATGCCGGACACGGCACAGAGAGCACAGGCTGGAGCCCCCATAGCTGGCTCTCACCGTAGCAACACAAGTCCACAGCAGGGACGCCTGGGTGGCGCAGTCAGTGAAGCGTCTGCCCCATGTCGGGCTCCCTGCTTAGTAGGGAGCCTGCTTCTCCCTCTGCCGCTCTCCTCCCCCCTGCTCATTCTCTTTCTCTCTCAAATGAATAAATACAATCTTAAAAACAGAAACAAGTTCACTTACTTACTGATCCCCACTCTGCATGCTTTCATGAATATTATTTACTGGATTCTGGACATCTGGTTATACTCTGCCATTCTTTTTTTTTTTAACATATATCTTTTAAAGATTTATTCATTTATTTTAGAGAGCAAGCAGAAGAGGGAGAGGCAAAGAATCCCAAGCAGAGTTCCCGCCAGGTGCGGAGCTCAACTCAGGGCTCAATCCTACTACCCCGAAACCATGACCTGAGCCAAAATCAAAAGTTGAGGACACTCAACCCACTAAGCCACCCAGGTGCCCCTATACTCTGCCATATTCCGATACAGTAGACTCTCACGTCTCCCTGTTCATAAAACAGGCTCCTCTCAGGGGAAGGGTAGCTCAAATTTTCTAAAATAAATCTAGGGGGACACCTGGGTGGTTCAGTTGCTTAAGCATCTGCCTTTGGCTCGGGTCAGGATCCCAGGGTCCTGGAATCCCAATATAGGGCTCCCTGCTCAGTGGGGAGCCTGCTTCTCCCTCTGCCGCTCCCCCTGCTTGTGCTCTCTCTCTCTCTGACAAATAAATAAAAAATCTTTTAAAAAAACCTTCCACATCTATACTAAAAATAAAATAAATCTAGGAAAGGAGAAGACTGACAACGTTCCACATTTCTAGTTTCTGGCAGCCTCTAGTTTCTAAGAGGCTGTGATTGGATTGACAACAATTTGTTCTCAGAACAAAATTCCACCTAATTTTCCTTTGAAGAAAATGAAGTCAGTGGCTTGCTTCTGGAAAACTGTACTGTCTGCCTCTTTCTCATGGTTCATACTAGGAGGGCAGCCTTTTGGGGAGCACCTTGTGGGAGCACCTGCCACACAGCCCACTGCAGGGGGCACGGGTGGGTCTGAGGGAGACTCCGTGTAGGTGTGCTACTGTCTCAAAAAGAAAGGGGACAATTTTTGAACTTACCACAGATTCTGACGTGGACGGGAGTCTCTGCAGCCCCGTTCTGGGAAGAGTCTCCCTGGGACTCAGCAGGTGTAGCTTTAGCTTGCCGAAGAGGATCTTCAACAAAAGCAGTGACACGTGATGAGTGGGTCTCAGATTTGAGAGAAACTGAACATCACTACCACAGCCACAGAAGGCCTACCCAATTAGATGCTACAAACACTCAAATTCTGAATTCATACTTTTCTTGGATTTGCAGGCTTTGAAGGAATGAATCTCAATGTGAGAAAACATGGACAACTTACATTCTTTCTAGATCATCAACATAAAATATTTATAAATTCAGAATAAATCTCTCTTTAACCCCTAAGTATGTTTTATAAAAAAACAAAAACAAAACTTAGTTTTACCTCTTGAAGCTGATTATTACTTGTTATAAGAAACTGCTCTCCTGCAACGAAATGGGCTTCTTGCTCCAATTCCTTGAGACGAGACTGTGAATGTGACACAAAATCTCACTAATGGTTTTCACAATGAAAGATTATTTAATTTGCTCATCAAACAGTTCCCAACAAAAGTTCTTATAAGAATAAAAAATAGCCTACAATGTACCAAACTGGACATTAAAAACATATACTTTGACTCATAGTGGAAAACTCAGGCTCATAGAATCATCCTCTCCTGAACTTCAGGAAGCAAACGAAAGAAGCAAAATAGGAAATAACACACCAAAATAAGGGAAAGAATGAATTCTCCAGGAATATTACTACTAGAAAAGGGATCTAGCATCATACCACAAACTTGAAAGCATCCAAGTAGGTAAAGGAGGTAGGACCAATGACCTCATAGTGCCCTCCCACCCAGCAGAGAGAGCAGCCACAGGGGACACCAGGGACACGCTCTGGACACAGCCTGGCTTGAGGGGTGGGAGGTACGGGTGGTCCAGGTGAAAAAAATCTAACCATGCCCCATGCAACGGCTGACAGTGAGGAGCGGAGCACAGCTGAATTTATAAGCCCCTTGTCCTCTTGCCACTTCCGTCAGAAGAAAAGTGGAAGGCAGTCAGGACTTAAAAACATAATTACAGAAGAAAACAGAAAACAGAGGCTAAACCAACCCACTCTGGTGAAATATCATCTGCATTCTATTCTTCATCAGATGAGGACGGCCTTGAGTCTGAAATTTTGAAAGAAGTTACAAAGAGAGTCCAGAGAAGTTAGGAGCGGACAAGTCTGATAGAAGAAAAGAGTATGTAGGTGAAACAAAGAAGCCAGAAACACTTGCCTCAGTTAAAAGTATGCCAAAACTCAGTAGTCAAAGAAACAAATGATAAATAGAAAACCAAGGAACAGAGCATTAAAGGACAGATAATGGATCCCTTCAGGAGTAAGCCATACCTTAGGGAACAAAAACTCCAGCAACAAACTGAGCTTCCAGTTAAAATGGCACATAAACTTGCACATTAATGCACTCCTCGTGTTCAGGCACAAGAAGAAATGGATAAATGTAAACAGAGAAAAACAAAAAGACAGTTCTTAAAAGAACAAAACAAAACATAAGCATCTCTTCAGAGCAGGACTAGATACAAAGTACAAAGCAGCAGGCAGAAGGACAGGAAAACCCAGCTGGGCTCTGGGGCCTGTGGCCAGGCTGGAGGAAGCCGGGCCAGCTTGGACCAGTTACCTGCTGCCTCAGGACAAACCAGTCCAAAGCACACTGCCATGGATCAGCACCTTGGGTGGGGCTCAGCTAGGTGCAGGTGCTGGCTGCATGGCCGTGCGGGGAGATTCATTTCAAATTGTCACCCATTTAAAAATTACCTTAACAGGCTTTTTCTTATTGATAAGAGTTCTCTATTACAGTCTGCATATGAGTCCTTTGTCAGACACATGAAAATACAATCAAAATCCCAGCAGGGTTTTTAAAAAAGTAGATCAAAGAATTTTATATGGCAATGCAAAGAACCTAAGACTGGACGATACCATATAGAAGAAACACAAAGATGGAAGACATACCATAGGGTATTAAGACATATGATTACAAAGCTACCATAACTAAGGCAGGGGAGTATTAGCACAGGATAGATTAAAAAAAAAAAAAACACACATGAAACAGAACAGAGTCCAGAAAAAGATTCACATTACACAGTGTTAAAAATAAAACACACATGGGGCGCCTGGGTGGCTCAGTTGGTTAAGCGACTGCCTTCGGCTCAGGTCATGATCCTGGAGTCCCGGGATCGAGTCCCGCATTGGGCTCCCTGCTCGGCAGGGGGTCTGCTTCTCCCTCTGACCCTCTTCCCTCTCGTGCTCTCTATCTCCCATTCTCTCTCTCTCTCAAATAAATAAATAAAATCTTTAAAAAAATAAAATAAAAAAAATAAAACACACATGGAGACCAGCCTTGAAAATTCCCTAAGCAGGTGAAACCAGTGTAGTCCTACAAGCAATGCTTCATTTAGTCTATTCTGCAAGATCAGGGAGGCTAACTTGATCTGGGTCTCTTCTTGCTTGTGTCTCTGAAAATCATAAGTGAATCTGAATTCGTGCCCCCCAAAATCCTAATGCAGTAGTCCACCACTGTGAAGAATAACCAGTTCCTGCCTCCACACCATATAAGCTGCTTTATGACAATAGACCTCTGAGCCTCACTCCATGGCTTGGTTTGAGTGCTCCTGGTTTGTAAGCTGTCTTTTTGGTGTGTGCACAATAAAGTTTTGCTACTTATTACTTCAGTGCTCCACTAGTTTTGCTTCTGTTTTTCTCTGAACTTTTGACAGCAGTGATCTGACTTATGACACAGATGTTACTGTAATTCAGTAGGGAAACAATGGCACTATTAATAAATGATGCTGAAATAAACAGAAATCAACTTGGGGAAAAAAATCTGAACCATACGTAATACCATATAGAAAAATTAATGTGAAACGGATGGTAGGCTTAAAATAATACAGCTTATAGAAGAAAACAGAAGAATATCTTTACTAGAAGGCAGACAAAAGATATCAGCACATAAAAATTCTTAAACATTTAAAAAATGGTTCACTGGACTTCATTAAAATAAAGAGATTCTGTTCACCAAAAGATAGCACTATTAAGAGAGTGAAAAAACAAGCCATATACACAGACTGAGCTGGAAAGTATTTTAGGTTCTATGGGCCACATATGGCTCCTGTCACATATTCTTCTTTATCTTTGCTTATGTGTTTATCTTTTAAAAATTGTAACAACCACTCTTAACTTGTAGGCCATATGAAAATAGGCCACAGGTGGATTTGGCCTGCAGACTATTGTTTACCAAACCCTGGACTGGGAGAAAGAATTTTCAATATATATTACAAAAGACTTGCATATAGAATTTATTACAAAGACTCACCATACAGAATATATAAAGAACTCCTATAAATCAATATGAAAAAGTCAGTTAACATAAATTTCAAAATGGGGGAAGTCTGCAAAACTGATCACAAAAGAGTACATCCAAAATACCATCAAGCATATGGAAAGGTCCTCAATATGATTAATCATCAGGGAAATGCAAACTAAATCCACAACGTAAATCCATACAATCCATTGTAAATATACGATGACAGACCCACCAGAATGGCTAAGGTGAGAAAGACTGGCAGTATGTCCTGGTGAGGATGTAGCAAATGGGACTGGAAAAGGTCATGACCAATTCCAAGAGGTCTTCGGAAGTACCTACTACCACCTATACACACACTGTGATCCAGCAATTCCATTTCCAGATATAAAACCAAGAGACAGGAGCACTCACATCCACCACAGTTTATGCACACGAATATTCATAGGTGCTGTGATCACAGTGCCTACGAATGGGAAGGATGTAAAGAAGCTAAGATATGTTCTTAAATGGGTGTTACACAGCAAGTTTTACTGGAACCCACATCTGCTAAAACTCACCAAACAAGTGAATCCCACAGATAGGATGTGAGCAAAAAAAACCCAGAACCAAAGAGCCCACACTGCATGGTTCCATTTACATGAAGCTCAAAATCACTGAACAGAGTCAGATTAATGGCTCTCTCTGGGATTACAGACTAGGAGGGGACAGGAAGGAGGAGCCTTCTGGGTACTGGAAATATTCTGTATCTTGCTCTGGGTGGAGTCACATGCATGTGTACAAATGTAAAAACATGTCAAGCTGTACACTTACAATTTACACCAAGGAGATCTGGAAAGATGGCAGAGTAGGAAGCACCTGTAAGTAAGAAACTGCCTCCCCACCTGGACCACATTTGCAGGGGCAGAAACCGTCTGATGCGATAGCTGTTTTGAACTCAGGAGTCTGTTGAAGGCTTTCAGATTCCAAACTTGGAAGGTAAACTGTGGCTACTTTCGGTCGATTTCAGCTCTTAGCACAGTAGCAGCGGCCCATCCCCATCTTGCACCCCCAGCCACACAGCAGGCAATTGTCCACCTGTTTCTGGAACACTGTGCAAAAGCCAGGGTGGGCAAAAAGACCCTATCCTCCAAATGGTAGGGATCTGGGCTCTGACTATTGCTTCTAATAACACAGATGCAGACAAATAGGCAGGCAGTCATCATTGTGGCCCCTCTCCCCAGTGTTGTAAGACCCTCTCCCTCCAGCTGAAAAGACTTCCAGGGGAATTAAAGGGCCAGCACCCTTTTACATCCCCCTTAATTTTTCACTTTTCCTCCTTTTGGGAGCCAGAAATTAAAGGACAAGGATGGTCAACAAAACTACTGCTTATGCAGGGAAAATTAGAAATAGACTGTGTATGCCCAGGAAAAATCTTAGAAAAAAACATGAGAAGACCTTAAGTTTGCCCCTCAGGCTGATCTTTAGCACAGAGACACCCTATAGCAATAAAAAAACAAAAACCAAAACCACTAACACAAAACAGCAAACCCTGTGGTAGGGGGAGAATATGATTGTCAGAGCTCCCACATTATCAGATTCAAATGTCCAGTGTTCAATAAAAAATTTCAAGGCATACAAAGAAAAGTATCCCATTCAAACAGGAAAAAAACAAAAAACAAAACAAAACATCAACAGAAACTGTCCCTGGAAAAGACCTAATGGCAGATCTAGTAGACAAAGACATTAAAACAACTGTCTTAAAGATGCTTGAAGAACTGAAGGAGGATGTGAAGAAAGTCAAGAAAACAATGTGTGAGCAAAATGCAAATAATGATAAAGAGAGAGAAAACCTAAAAGGAAATAAAAAAGAAATTCTGGAGCTGAAAAGTACACTAACTGAAATAGAAAATTCCTTTGGGTGGTTCAACAGCAGATTTGAGCAGGCAGAAGAAAGAATCAGTGAACTTGAAGATGGGATAATGGAACTTATTGTGGCTGAGGAACATACAGAAAATAAATTGAAGAAAAGTGAACAGAGCCTAAGGGACCTGTGGGACACCACAAAGTAGACCAGCATATGCATTGTGGGCATCCCAGAAGGAGGAGCGAGAGAAAGGGAGAGCAAAAATATTTGAGGAAACAATGGAAG